CCCTGCTAAGGCTGCTTGTAGTTGCCCCAGGATTCTCTATGTTATACATGTCACAGATTAACCAGTTATTTCTGGGACCCTCCTTTCAGAAGACAGAGGCTGTGTTAAGGGGTGCGTCCACAATGCTCAGTGCGCAGTTGGGCAGTCTCCTTGCCTCCACTTGAAGGAATTATTTAGCAGATTGAACCATTTGGACGGGATTGATGCTTGGGTATCATTCAGATTTTCTTGTAGGTTGTGAAGGCCCTCTGCACCAATTCTTACCGGACTAACCCGAACGCCTTCGTGTGGCATATGAAAAAAAGCTTGTAGTCCAGAGCGGATTAGTTTGAGAATCCGTTTATCTCGGATTGTTCGCCGAATGATCTTATACAGAGTTCCATGATTTACGGCTCCAGGGCCTTCGGCCTCCAGGGATCCTTCAAACCAAACTCTAATGTTAAGGACGACCCGGGCACAGGTGGGGTCCATGCATATGCAGTCATCCCCCATCTGTGCCTCATCCCGCAGATTCTATGGGCAGTGAACTGCCCTTCCACTAAGATGCGATATCCCGCCCTCCTCTATCCTAAGCATGATGCCTTCCTACCCCAGGCACCCCAAGAATCCACAGTCCCGACTAATTCCCCACTGAGAATTCCCACAGACCCCAACCTGGATGAAGCACCACCCGCAGGCATCAAGAGATACCTGTGGGATGAGAAGTACCCAGTACCTACCCCATACTAACACCCAGTGTGTGCGTAGGATTATCCCCCCCGAGATGGGTCCTACCGTAGTCTAAGTTCGCTCGGTGTGGACTCTCGTACGGTTGCCACGGTGACGGGAAACATCCTAGCTGTACCCAGGCTCGACCATGGCACCCCCACGGACTAGTACATACTGGCGAGACTGAGAGATCGGAGCGTCCAAGTGGCCACGCAGAGGTATTGACGGTTTCAACAGTTTTGGGGGTTTTGGAAGTTTTGTGGTTATCGACAGTCTAGGCAGTTTTTCGATTTTCGACAACAGATAAGACCCTGATTGTTGCATACTCGTGAATACTTCAACAAGTATGGGCAGAACCAAGAGATCAACCAATATAGGATGAGCATGTATGCAGCAGAAGTCTGATAAATGGACTGACTCACATAGACTGACTCATACAGATATCACTCAACACACAAACAATTGTGAGATGGTGGGGTCTGAGCCAATCATAGACGATGCTCAGGCCCCGTACAATCATACACAGATGAAAGGTGGGAGGAGAGATGAAGGAGGTGGGAGATGTAGGCAGCACCAGATGTCACCGAGATAGAATCCAGTAGGTCACCGATATGGTAGTCCAAAATGTCATCGAACAAGATCGAAATGCCGTGGACAATAAGTCACCAATGTCAGAGGTACAGAGTCCTAATGTAAACGGTGTCCGATCTGTGATGCCGCCGAGTATCGACCCCAACAATCTCCAAGTCTTGAATCCGGTAAGTACCACAGCCTCTTACCACCGAAGTCCAACACTGATCTCTGTCCAACTAGTATCAAGTCTCCAGTCTGAAGAAGAAAAAGAAGTCTGAAGAAGAAGAAGAAGAAGAAGAAGAAGAAGAAGAAGAAGAAGAAGAAGTCTGAAGAGGAAGAAGAAGAAGTAGAGAACAGAGGAGGAGGAGGTGAGGAGGAGAGAGCTGGGGCCGCGGAGGGAGGAGAAACTCCCTCACCTCCTAGTACCTGGCAACGCTGCAATCCGACTGCAGGTCGAAGGCGCCTATGGCCGCCGCGCTGCTGATGGTTGCTGCCTGGCTCCTCGCTCGCCACTGCTGCTGCGCTGCTGCTGTTCCTCCACGCTGCGCTAAGAATAGCGCTGGCGCTAATGGCGCTAATGCTCCTGCTGTTCAACCGAAACGAACTGGTGCTCTCTCAGCGTCCAGTTGCTCAATGCCTCTCAATGAGGCTGGACCGGTATTAAGTACCGGTGGAAAAGAGGCCGGCCTCAATGCTGCGAGGCCTGGCCGTGATCTGAATCGTCCAGATCGACGGTTCAGATCAGACAGGCGGCCGGCAGCCTCAAGAGCGCCGCCAGGCCCAAACGGTAATGTCGTTTGGGCCTGTCCGTCGGGTCTGGTCCGTAAGTGGCCTAAACGGGCCAACCGGCGGCCTAGAATGGCTCCGCCGTGGTAAAGGTCCGGCCTTGGGCCTGGACCGGCCCCTGAACCCCAATTTGTCGGGCCTACCCAGGCCCGTGTGACACAATGTGTAACACACTCCCCCTCTTAAAAGACCGAGCTACCTGCGAGGGCGGAGTTGTCTGTCCGATACCGGGGTGGGTCGGKCGGGACGAGCTGCTTCCTTGGCAAGTCGTCGCTTCTCATAGTYGGCGAAGATAAGGGGTGCARAAGTCTGCAAGTCTGCATGAGAGATCCACCGAGTGTCGTMAGGCGCACATTGCTTGAATGTGACTTTGAACTGCATTGGCTTGTTGCCATACTTGCGGTGCGCGATGACTCGGTCGACTTCCTGATGTCCGTCCATACAAGGCGGATCCTATGATCGTCGGCCCGGAAACTCGTCAGCGGAAGGTGGCGTGTAGATGGCCAGCTTCGACGCGTGGAAGACCCACTGCACTGGAAGGTGCGGTGGAATGTTGACCACAAAGGAAGGACCTGCGGGGTCGTCTCCAACGGTAGAAGTAATTTCCCATGGTCCGAACCATTTCGGAAGGAGTTTGCGTGAAACGTCCTGCTCGAGCGCAAATTCCCCGGAGAGGACCCAAACAAGGTCTCCCTCGGGAAAAGGACATGGGAGTCGACGTCGGTTAGCTTGCTGCTGCATGCAGATTTGACCCTTTTGCATATTTGCGAGGGCTTTGATCAGCAAGTCCCGGTACTCCCGAGCGGAAGCGGGAGAGCAAGGAACGTCTATGTCGGCGGCCTGTGGTAGAAGGAGATCAGCGAAGATCCTTGCTTTCTCTCCACCATGATGTAACTCGAATGGTGTGACGCAGATCGCCGGGTGCACCGAAGTGTTATAGGTGAACTCAATGTCGGGAAGCCGGTCAACCCAATCTTTCTGGTCGGGACGGATGAGCGTACGCAACATCATTTGAGCGGTCTGGTGTGCTCACTCCGTCTGGCCATCCGTCCGCGGGTGTCGAGCCGAGCTCGGCTTCATTGTCGTACCGGACTCAGCCATAAGGGAAGTCCAAAAGGCCGACATGAAGCGAGTATCTCGATCTCTCACTATGTCTTCCGGAACACCCTGGTTGGTAATCCAACCGGTGCGCAAGAGTAGTGCGAGCTCAGGCGCTGCAGCATGATACTTGCAAGGAAGAAAACGAGTGTACTTGCTCAAACGGTCAACGACCGTGAGAATACTGTCATCGCCGAGGCGATCGCGGCGGAACGGGCCTGTAACATCCATAGCAATGGAGAGGCGCGGTGCCCGAGGAATCGGCAACGGTTTCAGTTCGCCGAAGGGGACTCGACTCGACCCTTGTTACGGTGGCAAACTGCACATGACTCAATGTACCTCGTGACGTCGTGAAGGACGTCGGGCCAGTGAAAACGCTGGCGGAGGTGTGCTAATGTGCGGGTCACGCCAAGGTGTGCCGAAAGTCGTGCGTCGTGGAATTCGCCGAGAAGACGAGTCTGTAAGATGCGACCTTGTGGCACAACTAACAAGTATTTTCCTCTCGTGTGAAGGAGAAGGAACCCGTCGGAAATCCGATAATGGCTAGCCGGCGGGTGATCCGATGAAAGCTCTGCATAAAGCGTAGAGTACGTCGGATCGGACTTGTAGCCTTTGACGAAATGCAGCTGGATATCGTCATCGAGGTCGAATGCCGTGGTCACAATGGCACAAAAATCGGGTCGTCGTGAGAGGGCGTCCGCAGCTCGATTGGCGGGACTGGGAATGTGGCACGGGTCAAAGTCGAACTGGTCGATGTAATACATCCATAGACCGATCGTGCTAGTGACCGTATCCTGCATTTTATAAAAGGTCAACGGATTGTTGTCCGTATTCCATTTAAAACGCCGACGACCGAGAAGAAAGTGGCGCCACCGTTTGAGAACGGTGACGAACGTGAGTAGCTCTTTCTTTCTAGCGTCGTCGAGAGTGTTGATGAGAGGCACCTTTTGGGAGAAATACTCGACCGGGTGCCAACCGTCCGCGTGACACTGTTCCAACACCGCACCAATACCGTATCCCGAAGCGTCCGTAGTCACTTGGGTGGGWAGGGTGGGGTCGTATATACGGAGGGCARSTGCGGCTTGCATYGCTGCCTTCAACGTATTGAAYGCGCCACGGGCTGCGTCGTCGAACTCGAAGGGCACCTTCGGGGACTGAAGTCTCGACAAGGGAGCGGCCACTTTCGAGTATGACTCGACGAATCGCTGATAATATCCAGCCAAACCCATGAAAGAGCGTACATCCGTCGTGCAACGGGGTTTTRGCCAATCCACGATGGCTTGGATCTTGTCCGCCAAGAGACGAATGCCTTTCGGCGTGACATAGTGACCCAAGTACTCAAGCTCCTGCTTGGCGAACTCGCACTTGTTGCGATTCGCTTTGTACTTGGCCAGTCGCAAACAATCCAAAACAGCGCGAAGGTGTATGATGTGCTTGTCCAACGTCCTACTATAAACCAAGATGTCATCGAGGGAGATGAGGACGCTGCGATCGAGCAAGTCGCGAAACTCAGTCGTCATAGCTGCTTGGAAAGTCGCGGGGGCATTGGTGAGGCCAAATGGCATGACAACCCACTCAAAGTGCCTGTACCGCGTCTTGAACGTGGTTTTGTACCGATCTTGAGGCTGGATTTCAATCTGGTGGTAAGCCGACTTCAAGTCCAACTTCGAGAAGTACGTCGCGACGCCTAACCGCTCAAGGAGATCATCGATCCCAGGGAGAGGGCCGGCGTTCTTTACGGTTTGTGCGTTAAGTTTTCGATAGTCGATGCGTAACCGTAGATCTTTGTTCTTCTTCCGGAAGAAGAGAATAGGGGCACCGTAAGGCGAACAACTAGGGCGAATCCAGCACTTGTCAAGGAGGTCGTCGAGTTGTGCGCGAAGCACCTCGAGTTCCTCTTCGCTCATGCGGTAAATGCATCCACGCGGAGGGACGGCGCCAGTCTCGAGAGTGATCCCGTGACGTATGGGCCGATCCGGAACCGTTCCGGTGGGAGCCTCGAACACGTCTCCATACCCGTCCAAGAGGTGAGTAATGCGTGGGTCCGGCGGTGACGCGGCTGGTCCGTCCGGCGAGGGGAGAGCATGCAAGAATACAAGGCCCATCTCCTCGACGTCATTCCGAGCTATGGCGTCGCGAATTCTTGCAACTGAAACCACGTGACAAGCAATCGAAGTGTGAGGGGTCGCGACCGTACATGGGACGAACACTCCGTTCCGATCACGGATGTGAACGGTTCGGTCATGNGTGAGGGGTCGCGACCGTACATGGGACTCGCACTCCGTTCCGATCACGGATGTGAACGGTTCGGTCATGAAAGTTCACCGGATGATCGGCGCTACGCAACCAAGACATGCCTAGAATCATGTCGAGCTTGGTGTCGAGGATGTCAAAAGATACCGGCTCGCACGCAAGTGGCACAAAGTATACCGGAACGTCGTCGACGCATCGGTCAATTGACTTTTGCGTGCGGCCGTCCGCGAGTGTAACTTGCGTAGGTTGCGTCTTCCTTCGAACGCGCGGGCCAAGGCCTACGTGGGCCAAGGCCTGCGCGGGCCATAAAGGCTTGGCTCATGAAATTGCGAGATGCTCCGCAATCAATCAAGGCACTGCAAGTTGCCTTTCCGATTTGAATGCGGATATAGAGCAAAGGCGCGTCGGTCTCGGCATACCTTTGGGTGGCATACTCGCGGTCAATCTTCGCAAGATAGGAGCGGAGATCGACAACCGCTACTCCGTCGTCCGTCAACGGAGCTGGTATTGCAGTGTGCAAATAGGAGTGTAGATGTGCCATCAAGGCGTTGCAATGCGGCCTTGGCAAGGTTCCGGTTGAGGGTAGAGGCATTCAAGCGAAGTCCTCTCTCGTGAGCGGGTCAAGCTCCTCAAGTCTTGACCACGCCGTCGAGTCCTCGGAATTCAGTGGCGAGCTGACCGGATCACTTGCCGACGGTGTACAGGCTGCGCATACGCTATCTAAGTGCGCGTGGCTAGGCTGGTCTAATGGTGGTACCAGCTGGGCGACATAATCCTCATACGTAGCACGAGAATCAGCGACTAACGCGTCCTCCCCGGTAGTGATATCAGTTGCTAGCAAGGCAACCGGTTCCGGCGGAGTGAGGAGAGGTGTCGCCCCTCTCCTTGCGTAACTCAGTTTCCCGAGTTAGTTGGACGGGGTACGCGTGCCTTGCCCTTGTCCGGGCATTGTGCGGTAGTGTGGGTGACACTATTGCACCATAGGCAATATCCGTACCGTTGACGTACGTCAAATACCTCCTTGCTTGTGTTGTATGCGGTCTATGGTTGTTGCCCAGTTCCCGTCGATGTCGTCGCTTGTGTCGCCTTGTTCTTCCGAACTCTCTTGGGACGCTTCGGCGGGAGTGCTGCAACAGTTTCTCCATCACTCGAGGATGCTGCTGCAGCATGAAGATCGACTGATTCATCAAAAATCACGGCATTGTTATGTGTCGGTCGTTGATTGCTTAGCCACATAGTGCGAATGGGACTGCCATTCGTTAGCCCTTGTCATCCATTTGGATGACCAGGTTCGCACGATCCAGAACAGCCTGGAATGAGGCATAATCGTACTCGTTGCCGAGTGTCGTTCGTAGTCCGGCGCACGATCTCGAGAAGAACTCGGATCGCTGGTTTGGAAAACTCAGACGTGGTCACTATCTTCTGCCACTTGATCATCCAGTGTCGAGTTGGCATGCTTCCTTGTGAGCTGGTGTAGACCTCGTTCATGGCCGCCTTTACAACGTTGCGGACCATGAATCGAGTGAACCACAGTTGCTCGAACTCCTTCCACGGAATGTGCATGTGGAGTTCGGCGATGGTGCATTTCTTCTTGGCCGCAAGATGGTTCATCCATGCCTGTGCTCCTCCAATCAGTTGGAGGTAGAGCGCCTTCATCATGTCATCAACCGGGACAGTGCGGCAGGATGCTTCCATGAGGAAACTTTGCCACCATGTCAAGGCGTCCGTCTTGTTGTAGTCGTCAAACTTGCTGATGTTGAAGTGCGGCATCTTGTATGTCTTTGTAGCGGCGTCCGGTCTTGTCTGCAGTTTGGTGATGTCCGTCTTGATGGCGGCCACCGTGCTGCTGATCGTCGCCGGACTAGTGAAATCACCTAGTTCGCCGATTAGATTGACGACATGGTCGATGCGCTCGCCGAGCTGTTTCGTCGTTACTGTCGTGCAGCCTGGCGCTGCTTGGGAAGGCCTTGCCTCCAGAGCAGCAATGCGAGTGTCCATCTATTGCAGCTGGGAGTCCGCGATCTTGACGGCTGCTGCAAGCGTCTTCACGTTATGGTTAAGATCGAGCTGCAGCTGCCGTGTAGACCTGGAATGAAGGTCACCCATGGTGCTGTTCCAGATAACTGCGCGCATTGTGCATAATAGAATGTCTGCTACGTTTTGTCTCTCCTGTTGTACTGTCGTCGGCTCGGCACCTGCTACGGGGACATAACGCATCCCGTTGAGCACGGCTGCCCACTGATCGTGTTGAGAGATCAGAAGGTCGGCACTGTCGGCGTTGAGCTTGTCGGTCGCCAACTGCTCCACCTCAGCTTGTCGCTGGGCTTGGGCTGCAGCTTCTGCTGCCAGCCTCTGTTTGTCTGCTTTGGCAGCATCTTGTCGTTCCTTGGCAAGGGTTAGTGAGTCCGTATAGGTCTTCACTCTCTGAATGTAGTCCGAGATGGACTCGTTCGGCCCTTGAACAGGACAGACCGGCAAGGGTTCGACATTACTATATGTCGAAGTCTCAGACGATGTTCCGTTGTTAGGCATGGCCGCCATCTGTGTGCTGGTCTGTGGCTGCTGTCGAACTGCAGGTTGCTGTTGGAGATTTGCGATCCGTTTGCTGCGTCGTGGCTGCTGTTCGGTGGCTTGCCCTGTTGGCATCAGGAAACTGTTGCTGAAGGCTGGTCAGTCCGAACGGTCGCAGAACAGTAAGAGGGAGAGGGTGGGCATAGGGGTAGAACAGATCAAGCAATTTGCATACAGTCCCTGTCCCAATTATGGACTTAGACACCTAATCAAAAGAAAAAGGATAAACTTTCCCCAAAACAACTTAAAAATTCGTAATAAGAAATAATTACGAATTAATAATCTATAAATTTTAATTAATGATTACTAACGAATTAATACTTTCTTAATAATAATCAATAATGATAATTAACAAATTTTAAATTGTGAAAAGATTAGGTATCCGTTGAGATCTCCTATGGTCCGGGAGTTCACCGTTGATTAGTGAACTACTCGGAAGTTGCAGTTCTGAGGGAACGATTCCTAACAGTTTGCCAAAAAAAAATTCGGATACTCGGGAAGAAAAACACTCGAAGTTTTGAAAAACGTAAAATTTCGGGAATTTCAATCTACAAAAGTCCGATTTTCAAAGGCCTGAGTCCGTATTCGAAATTTCTCAAACTAGGGAAAGAAAAAAAAATCACGAACATTTCGGATTCCAACCTTAATTTTCCGCGATTCCGCGGAATTTGCGGTTTTACGATTCCAAAACATTCGAATTTCCCACTTTGATGAAAAACCGAAATTTATTGTAACCCTAATTTCCAATACCGAAAGAAAACAGAAGTACCGATTTAAAAATTGAAATACCAGAGTAAAAACATAATGCCGAATTAAAAACGGAATACCGAATTTGAAATCAAAATGCCGAATTAAAACAGAATACTGATTTAACCAGAATAACGAATTAGAATCAGAAGACCGAATTAAAACAGAATATCGGATTAAACAATTAATCGGAATACCGAATTAAACAGAATACCGATTTAAAACAGAATCCCAAATTGAAAGTCAGAATACCGAATTGAAACAGAATGTCGAATTAAACAGAATACCGAAAAAAATTAAAAAAAAAATGCAACTTTAAATTTCGATAGTAATGCAGAGCTGATTTGGAAGATGGAATACTTTGAACGAAAAACCGAAATTTATCATAACCCTAATTTCCAATACCGAAAGAAAACAGAACTACCGATTTAAAAATCGAAATACCGGAGTAAAAACAGAATGCCGAATTAAAAACGGAATACCGAATTTGAAATCAGAATGCCGAATTAAAACAGAATACTGATTTAACCAGAATAACGAATTAGAATCAGAAGACCGAATTAAAAGAGAATATCGGATTAAACAATTAATCAGAATACCGAATTAAACAGAATACCGATTTAAAACAAAATCCCGAATTGAAAGTCAGAATACCGAATTGAAACGGAATGTCGAATTAAACAGAATACCGAAAAAAAAAATAAAAAAAAATTGCAACTTTGAATCTCGATAGTAATGCAGAGCTGATTTGGAAGACCAAATAAGCAATCTATTCCTAAATCAGACTTACCTTGTGAGCAGATCCATTATTTGGTCTGCTCCGATACCAAAACTGTTGCATACTCGTGAATACTTCAACAAGTATGGGCAAAACCAAGAGATCAACCAATATAGGATGAGCATGTATGCAGCGGAAGTCTGATAAATGGACTGACTCACATAGACTGACTCATATAGATATCACTCAACACTCGAACAATCGTGATATGGTGGGGTCTGAGCCAATCATAAACGATGCTCAGGCCCCGTACAATCATACACAGATGAAAGGTGGGAGGAGAGACGAAGGAGGTGGGAGATGTAGGCAGCACCAGATGTCACCGAGATAGAATCCAGTAGGTCACCGATATGGTAGTCCAAAATGTCATCGAACAAGATC